TAGCACAAAATATAAAAATCCAGTCTTTGAAGGAGATAATGAGCACAGAGCTCAGCGGCATCGCCACAAAGGTGAAAAAACCACAGGCCGCCGCCGCGGCCCCAAAGAAAAGGGCCAACGGCATATTCACGACAATGTCCGTTGCCCACGTGGACGACGAGGAAGACAACGACCCCAGCCCCGGCGGCGGTCCCCACCGCGTGGAGAAGGCTTTCCCCGATGGCTCCCTCTACACCGGCCACTGGTCCGGCGACCGCCCCCACGGCCACGGCAAGTGCCTCTGGCCAGACGGCTGCATGTACGAGGGAGACTGGGCCGGCGGGCGGCCCGCGGGCCGCGGCCGTTTCAGCTGGCCCTCCGGCGCCACCTACGAGGGCCGTTTCCGGGCCGGCCACATGGACGGAGAGGGCTCCTACACGGGCTTTTCTGGCGACGCGTACCGCGGCCAGTGGTCCGGTGACGAGCGGCACGGCCGCGGGGCCCGCTCGTACGGCAACGGCGACCACTACGAGGGCCAGTGGCGGCGGGCCCACCCTCACGGCCGGGGTAGGTACACGTGGCACAACGGGAACCAATACATTGGGCAGTGGAAACAGGGGAGGATGCACGGGACGGGCACCATGATATGGGCCAACGGGAACCAGTACGACGGGAGCTGGCTCGACGGGCTGCCACGTGGCAACGGAACCTTCCGGTGGGCCGACGGAAGCTTCTACGTCGGATTTTGGAGCGAAGAACCGAGGGAGATGAGCGGGACGTACTACCCGTCCAGCTCACAGGCGGTCGGGGGAAGCTTCGAGTGGGACCCGCGAGAGGTGTATTATTTGGTGAGCTTGAGCGATTGTCGAGTGGCTCGAGGGGAGAAAATATCAATTTTGCCCTCGGAGAAGGGCGTGAACTGGCCGTGTGAGGATTCTTGTGGGGTTGTCGTAAGGGGCGGGTCGTCGGGTAATTGGGGCGGGTGTAGTTTGGGTTCGGAGTCGGATTTGAGTATGGAGGGAGGGAGTAAAGGCTCGGGAAGGGAAGGGAACGGTGAAGGAGTCGAGGATTATTCGAGTGTGGGGTCGAGAGGATGTAGTAAGAGGCCTCCTCCTCGGATGATAATTAAACCGGCCAGGAGGTACGGCCACACAATTTCTAAAGGGCACAAGAATTACGAGCTTATGCTGAATTTGCAGCTAGGGATAAGGTAAAATCGAGCGTAAAAGAAAAAAAAAAATCAAATCTTTAAG